AATTTCAGACATACGCCAACACACACACACGGGGGCATGCAGCAGTGGATGAGGCATACAATTGTCTTCAATTTCAGACATACGCCAACACACACACACGGGGGCATGCAGCAGTGTCTTGTGGAATAACTGTGTAGTATACCTACTGTAATATCATACTAAATGGAGCACATACAAAATGTAGCACACAATGAACGTAGCACATACTAAGCGTAGCAGATACTAAACTTAGCACATACTAAACCTCAACAGCTGTTCATCTTTTGTTTAGTCTTGGTCAAATATAAAATAAGTTGATAAATGATAGATGCGTATAAACGAGCAATTTCGTCTTACTCAGATTCTACCTCCTGCGGCCCTCGGATGATTTGAGTTTGAGACCCCTTGCTTTAAAGATTTGAGTGGGTCATATAAATAGAAAATACAAAGACAGAGTTTTCAATCGATATAAAATTTGTCTAGGTGCAGTTTTAATTGACTATAAGGGCAAAGGGAGCCACGTGGTCTATTTTTGATGAATTTTGCACCCCCACCCCTTAGCCTTTATTAGCACATTATTTTTGTTTCCTACGTACGCGAAAAGGTGTCTAAAATGTGTACTCTTGTACAACACAATCACAACTCGAATCCAAAGAGCTGATAACCAAAGCAGATTTTAAAAACAATCCTTTTACTTTTACAGAACAAAATTAACAACCCACGTGACACTGCTAGTGAAGTGATCTAATTGTACAGAGTCGATTACCGTTTTATAGCATGGTTCCACAACAGCACACCTTTTAGCGATTACTAAGCTAAAGTATGCGACATTCATTGTTTAGACAGGACGCTTAGCATAAATGTTTACGCCATTTTCGAATTGGGCAAATTTTAATGTCATAAATGTTTAGGGAAAATATTTAAAATTTAACATCTCAAAAAATAATAATGAAATAAAGAATTTTTTTCGTTAAAAATCGTTTGTATGCATTTTGATTGCACTTATGTACCTGTAAGTTATTTATCATTTATTAGGAAGCGTTTATGTGAATGGGTAAACATCTGGTGAAAACACGTTTCATATTTCATTCGTTTCCCCCTTCCAAAATACCAAAATCCGTTTTTATTTTTTTTACTGAATAGCCCAAATACGTCACGAATAAAAAAGTATATATCAACAGTGTCACAAATAATCTCCACACAAACAATACACGTTCCCGTTGATCACGTCGTATTTCAGTCAGCTCTCCCTTGATAAACAGGGAAAACAGATATGTGGGGGTTTGGGGTGTGGAGGTGAGGCTGAAAATTTTATGGAATGTGTTGTCATTGGCAACGAGTTCACGTGCCAAGTTTCAGCTCGATAGGATGACGGGGCTTAGCTCATTCAGCCCTACAAAGATTTAGACACAAACATACAAGCAAAAGCGAAGTTAATATAAAGGATTATTTTTTTTAATGTCTGGTAACATTTTGAATACTTACATAAATTTGTATGCAGTCATTTTCTCTCTTAGAATACATGTCAAAGTATCAAGAGTTTTTAAGATCAGAATAAGTTACTCTATGTAAAGTGAATACAGTCTGATATATATTTAACCCTCTGGAGACGTAAGGGCCGATCTATCGGCCCGAGGTACACTAGCGAGAAAGACGTCAAGTCCGAGCCGTCGGCCTGATAGATCGAGCCTCACGATTGGCTGGCTTGGCATTGTACCAGCGAATCAAAATTATTCATACGTATTCCTGCACATCCCGGCATTGTAATGGCGGCGTTCGTTGAAGGTGAACTCAATTTATTTGTTTGCAGGAATTTTTGTGTGTGTGTGTAGTTACATCGTGAATTTTTCTAGCAGTGAATTTGACACTGAAACTGCTGAAAACAACCAGGGAATTAATGAAGACTTTCAAATTGAGGGTAATGCTAATGTTGTGAACTCTTGGTTTAGTATTACTAGTATTAGGGGTCCTCAAATGGACAGAGATGACCCCTCTGAATTTTTAGACAACATAAGTCCTATAAATAAGTCATAAGCACCCCATTTGAGTATTTTATTCTATTTTTTACACTAAATATCACTCAATTGTTAATGAGAGAGACCAATTGATATGCAGACACATTTGTCAGTAACATTCAGCTTAAGAGAAGGTCCCTAGGTTATAAATGGGGGCCTGTTACAGTGTGTCTGTAACAACTGAAAAATAGGGGGTGGGGGTGGGAAAGGAGTAGAACCATGTGCCAGAGGTGTCTGAAGGGCCTTCATGGGCCCTTTTCCCCCAAAAAATAAGTATTAGGACTTATTCAGGCTTCATCCATCAAAAAATTCACACAATTGATACTAGTAAGTCATGTTTGTTCTAGGTGTAACAAAAAATTAAACGCATAAATTATGCAAATAAGGGTACCTCATTTGCATAAATTTTGATATGTCAGTTTGATTCATAAAGATTGTATTAGTTCATTCAATTTCCTACAAGAATATATATAGTTTTACATATATTAAGGGAATAGTTTATTTTTTATACATTTTTTTGCAATGCGAGTCTCGAGCTCGTAAAAATTGCTCCGTCTTTTTGGCACATACACCCCGAAAAGGCTCCGTCTCCAGAGGGTTAAACTGTCGTGCAAGTATCACTGAATGTGAGTTATAATGTTCCTGGTGAAAAGTGATAAGATGGGAAAGAAAAAAATTACAAAATACACAACATATATGAGTGTTAGCTGCACGAGAGGTCTAACGTGAGGCGATCCAAAAAGCTGGTTGTCTGGAGTTCAATCCCCAAGAAAGCTTTCACAAGCAAAACATTCACCGGCGAAATCACTAACAATGGACGGCAACGGGCCGTTTATGAAATATGCCTATCAAAGAATTCTGCATATCTATTAGGGATACAAAATCTTGAGAGAATAAGCACGTAAATACGTCAAATACCTACAATATCATCAGTGATCTCAATTATAAGTCATGCCCATTTATAAAGCAGTCACGTCCCCAAGATAAACCAGTTGTTTTCCCTGACTATAAGTCAACTGTGTCCGCTTTTATGGGGTACGTCCACATTTTTGTAAAACAGAGTAGCTTGCCCTTGGTTGCCACCTACTTTTTTTCCTATTTCCGTTGCTTCCAAATTCATGGTGTTGTTTCTTAGCTCGATTCCAGTAAGCTGAGTTGGGCTAACCAATACAGATCCGGTAATAAAACATTTTAAAATAAAATATATGCTACTGAAGTAATTTCTCTCCTCTCAGTTCACGGCATCTTCATCCAATCCATGTTTACTACGCCAAACATAACAACCAGAAATCTTATGAAAGCGGAAATGGTCTAAATAATTCATTTGCTCCTTTCTCACCGAAAATACAAATTGCTTCGTTATAGCGCCGCTTTCGTAAGTGGTGATTCATTGTAAAATAACTCAGCGGAATTTATCAATTTGACGCTGAAACCTACGAACTCTTGATTTGAGCCTCGGATAAGTGTGCAATTTTTAGGATTTTTTAAAAACATTTTTTTGTAATAATGGCAAGTAGAGATGCAGTGCTATGTACTTCTCTAAGCACACATTTGTTGGTAACAGCAAACAAAAAATTAAAATATGTAACAATTTTTTTTTCAAATTCTTTGACACTTGAATTATTGACATTAAAATTGTCGCAGAGATTATGGTTTGTGAGCTGACTGAGATCGAGGCCTCGCTTAAATTAAGTTGTCGTATTGCTAATTTCATGATGTGTACGATTCTAACAATAAACTACTGGAGGTGATTGGTACCAATCAAGCAAGAGGGAAATAAATAACCACGGGGCGATTTAAATAAACGCTTCAAACTAGAATAAGGCAGCTGCGAGTTTGACACTTTATACAATTATTTTCACCTTAAATTATTCTGATTTGACAAGTTCGCGTGGAAATTTTGAAATTATTCGCAGGTGCTATTTTCAAAGTTAAGTCTCTATCTTTGAGGAGGAGGGGGCGTAATGATATTCAGACGAAGATTTTGCAGATCTATATAATAATATGTAAATCAATCGAATTTTTTTTTTTTTGGTGATTTTCGTGAATCGAAGAAGAAAGTGTAATTGAACAACATTAAAAAGCACATTGAAACTGAATCGTGATCTTGGGACAAAAATTGATACTTAGAAAAGCTATAATTACGAAAATGCTAACAAAAACCTACAAAAATTTTCCAAGCAATTAGTTACATACGGGGACTGCACACATTAGACCACCGTTAATTTCAACCCATCGATGCTTGAGCAAAGTCAGCTTGATGTGTTTGATTATTGACAACAGCAAAATATCACATTAAACGAAATGATCTGACAAACTGTTGTCTATTGATCCCATTGTTATGTTCTAATGGTCGGTGGAAAGTGTGATCTATTAGCATTGAAATAAACACGAAGACATATAAGACAAGGGCTGACAAAGGAAGTAAGGAAAGCTCTATAAAGAAGAAAATACTATGAATATATATATATACCCGGTAATGTAATTTTATTTCAAATAAAAATATTTCCTATGAAAATAATACAGGATTGTAAGTGGGAAAACTCTGTTATTTTGAATTTGAAAAAAAAAACCTCTTTATAAAATTAAGTTAATGATGGGAGAGGAACAATGGGTTATTTGCGGGTGGTGTTAACATAATGTTAATTTCGATTGTTTAAAGCATGGTCCCCATGAGACTCTGACCCACATTTTCAAGACTTTCCAGCTTCTTTAACCGTCTACCATTCTGTTCCCGTTTATTATAACTAGATTTTTACACAAGTCCCTATTGAAGTAATATCAAAACGTGTTTCTATATAAATATCGAAGTGATATAAGACGCATTAATTCATATTTTCTATTGTGTTATATCCGATCTCGGGACAAAAAACACTAACATATAATATAATGAGCCACACAAACGTCATCAACTTGGAAGCAGTGACCTCCCCTGCGCCTACGTCACTGATCTCAGTGGAAGTTCATCAACTCAGCCTTGAAGTTCTGCACGCGCCGCTCGTGGTACTGACCTGCCTCGGCATCGTCACCAACCTCATCAACGTCCGGGTTTTCCACCGACAGGGGGTGACGTCGGACAGCACGACGGTGGTCCTTTTCACGCTCTCGCTGTCGGATCTTCTGGGCTGCGTCTTCCTGGTTCCGGAGATCTTCTGCTTCTACGCGGAGGGCCGCGTGCAGACCGACAACGGCTTCATCAACAACTGCACCGAGCTCACGCTCATGCCGGCCACTTACACGCATTTAATCTTGATCAAAATATCCAGCTTCGTAACCGTCTACCTGTCCGTAGAGCGTGCCATCTGCGTGGTGTTTCCTTTGAGAGTCAAGCGCATCATCAGGGTGAAAAACACGGTCACAATCATGGTACTGATTTACATCCTGCTCATCATCTCCTTCCTGCCGTACGGTGTGAACGTGTTCGTTGTTTGGGTTGCGGACCCCAACAAGAACGGGTCGCACAAGGCCATCAATTACGCGACACCAGAGGGTAAAACTTTTGCCCTGACCAACAGCTTATTCCACTCCTTCACGATGTCCTCTCTGACCATGATCGTCGTCACCGTCTCGACGGTCGCCATAGTAACGCGCCTCAAGGCCTCGGTAAAATGGCGTGCGGCGTCCGCGTTAGGACGCTGCAGCGGACTGAAGGGTTTCGACAGGGCATCGGTCAAGAAGATGGAAACTGCGAGGATCGTGCTCGCCATAATGTCCGTGTACCTGATGTGTTTGACATTCACGCACATACCCAACATGGCCTTGGTGGCCATCCCGGGAGCGGATCTCACCGGCCGGAACAGGTTTTTTGCGGAAGTGCTCTACGTGCTCAAGTTCGATTTCGATTCTTTTAACTCGTCTGTTCATTTCTTCTTTTACATTAGGATGAGCTCCAAGTACCGGAAAACTCTACGCTCACTTCTGAGGAGACGATGAATGTGAAATACGCGTCGAATACCTACTCTTTATTCATAATTTATTTTAGTCTATTTCACGTGAAACGTTTATTTTTCACATTTTTAAGTCCATTCCTTGATGGTTGAAAAGTTGCCAACCTCTTTTTATCTCACACAAACTATTATATTTTTGACAAGCGCCATTCATGAAGTTCCAATTTGAAAGGTCTAAACTTTCGAAAGGTCTATGACAAGTACATGCAATAGCTTCTTTAAAAAAAAATGCACGTCAAACTGTTTGATCTCTTTTTTTTTTCTAGTGACAACCAGACGTGGCAAGTGAAGATTATAGAATACCATTGATCTCTTTTTAGCTTTGTGAGTGAACTTTACGTAACTGTTTCGTTAATCTTTACATCTTGGATACAGGCTCTCATTTCAGGTTTAAATATAAATAAAGATACAATTCGACTTACAGTATGCAGCAAAAAAACAAACAAATGTATTACTTAAACCCCCGCATGTTGAACGTGTAAAGACCTCTATAACACTGAATAGTTTCACCCGCCACATAGTGAAAATAAAGATGGAATAATACGATCCCTGGTCGTTGGAAAGAAGAATTCCTTTAGCTGAGGATTATTTTCGATCATCTACGTAGGTGGTCGTGAAGTGAGACTTAGCTTCAAAAAGCTGGTACGACAAATCCAGGAGAGATTTTAAAAAGACTGCGTAAAGTATAGCGGTTACTGGTTACATTATATTATCTTGTTTCACAAGTGTGAGGCTTTGAAAAAAGCAACTCCATCTCAACGGAAGGGGAAGTTATCGATTTTTATTTTTACACCTGCTTTTATTTTAGCATAGTATTATTATTATAAGTTAAAAATGCATTTAAAATAACAATTAAAGGACTATTTTAAACATTGTATCCGAGCTTGAAAGTTATGATATTGTCTTTTTATTGTCAATAAACCATTAACAAATTTATCGGGAAAACCAAAATATTTGTTATTTTTTAGTGCGTTGTTAATATTGCGAAATTAAATTAAAATTAATTTTATATAAATGATGTAAATCAATATCGAAGTAAACTTTTCGATTGAACTTAAAGAAAAAAAGAAAAATTATATTAATTTGATTAGAGCTTCATTTAAACTTGCAAATCAAAAAAAAATTATTTTCTTTTAATTTATTTAATAACCGCGTGTAACAATACGGATAATGTATTGTCCACTTTTAAAAAGTAAAATTTATAAATCTAATTGATACATATTTAAAGTGTTAATAAAACACACAATTTTAGCATTGTATTTTTAACATTTAATAAGTGTTACTCATTTTTTTAATTCCAAAAATGTACTTTCATCAAATTTATAAAGTAGTAAAAAAAACTTAACGTTAAAAAATGCTTTAAAAAAAGAAAATGCCATTTAGTCAATTAGTTAATGCGGGCCTCCGCGGAGAGAAACGCGGGCCTCCGCGGAGAGAAACGCGGGCCTCCGCGGAGAGAAACTCGGGCCTCCGCTGAGAGAAACGCGGGTCTCCGCGGAGAGAAACGCGGGCCTCCGCGGAAAGAGAGAAAAATCTCTCGGATCAATGGAGACGCAGTCCAGAAGATCCGACACCGGCAGTGTGAAGAGAACCACCGTCGGGCTGTCTGACGGCTCCCCCTGTCGGTGGGAAAACCCGGACATTGATGAGGCTGGTGAGGAAGCGGAGAAAGGTTTAGTACCATGAGCTACGCGTGCATAATTTTAAGGCTGAGTTGATGAACTTGCGCTTAGATCATTGACGTAGGCACAGGGAAGGTGAAACGTCATAGCATAATATCACTCACTTATTCACATATCATTCATCCGAAATTTGTAAAAAATTAAATGAACTTGTTCGTTTTGATTCCAATATCCTACAACCCAATCATGTGACAGACTGGAACTTTTGGTATAGATCTAGTTGTTTAATGACTTGTTAATGTTAAAATAAACAGCCACACTATTTCAATACACGGAATAATGCGTGGAATTATATAAAAAAATTGTTTTAGGAAATATAAAACAATGTGTGGTAAAAGGGATCGGGGACTTACGAATTTTTTAAAGTTCATTGACGTGCAAGCAATCCGTGGTTGCGTACGTAAGAGGGGGTGGGGTTGGGAGGGGGAGCTAACCGACCGTGGATGTTTTTATTTTTTGTAGAAACTGTGGGGTAAGGGGTTCGATACCTTCATTTTGGCCTAGGCGGCACTGTGGGGTAAGGGGTTCGATACCTTCATTTTGGCCTAGGCGGCACAAGATACGCCTCAAAAAAAAAATTAAAAAAGGAAGGAATTAGATTAATAATTATCCTTGGTATACATATCATGGGGTAGGGAATAGTGTGTGTACATATTTACGTGAAGGACACTATCTTTACATGCAAAAATTTTTACATTCGTGAATAAATGGTGTTACAATCCCTTTCTACAAATAAAACAACATATGTTTACCAATGAAGAAAATATAGTCGGATGGTGTTGACAAAACGCGGATATATTTACATAAGTTTACACTTACTCAAATGAAGCATCAAAAGCCAATCATTTTACACAGGGGAAAATTTAATCTTAAAAATAGAACCAAATCTCTTTATACTATAAAAAGGCGTTAATAAAAATGTGTAACCATTTTCTTTCATAAATTGAAGATATAGTTTTGTTTTTACTTTGCGAAAATTGAAGTGGGTCTATGGGGTCGTCCATTAATTACGTCAACATTTTTAAAGCGATTTTGAGCCCCCCCACCCCCCGCTCGCCCCTTTGTCAACACCTGTCAAACTTTCAATTATTCCCCCCCCCCTTTACAGTTGTTGTGTACAGAAATAATAGTACACAGTTGTTGTTTACAGAAATAATAGTGCACAGTTGTTGTGTACAGAAATAACAGTACACAGTTGATGTGTACAAAGTTTCCGCTATGCTCTTCTGTTGCTTTCATGTGCACTGTGCACTTCTCAAGGATACAATACCTAGTTTTGCTTGAACTACCGTACAGTAAATTGTACATGGATGGTAAAGTTTGTACAATAAATGGTTCAATGGTGATAATGTTTGTACAATAATGTTACATTGGTGGTAATATTTGCATAGTAGATTGAATGGTAATGGTTACAAATGTTGTTACATTGTAGGTTATGACTGCACAGTAGGTGGTACATTTGTGGCACATACTCTACTGTACAAGTTCCAATATTGATGACGACACACGTAGCAATGCCGTTTATTGTTCATCGACTACTGAACCAGCTGACCCTACAATTATGGAATCAATTTGAAAAAGCATCATGTTCAGACCTAATAATATATTATTATTATTGCTATTGATACTATTGAAATCAATCAAATATTACCTTTAGTAATATACACTTTGATTCGCGCAAGAGCAGTAGATGGCATAGGAGTAAAACCTCAACTACAAACCAATTTTTAACTTATTGGTCGACTTCACCTCAAAGAGGAGAATGGGTTTCTGTAACGAACTATATATATATATATATATAATATATATATAATATATATATATATATATATGTGTGTGTGTGTGTGTTGATTATGATTACGTTACTTGCAATGATTGACGTGTATTACTTGCTCTGAATCACAGTCGTCCATGAATAGTTAATAATAAGACACGAATAACTATCTGCATCACTATATATTTAATAATTGAATACGGCACATCACATGAAATAATGCTACTAAAGATCACAATAAGTATAGGTATCACATTTATAACTTCTTCGGTACACTTCAAAAATTATATTAAGATATTGATCAATAACTAGAATAAACATGGCCAGCGCCAAATATATATGAATCCATGCCAACGGCCTTGACCTTTAACTCTTCTCTATTCCATCCTATAATTCCTTAACTTCCTGTTATTTCTATTTAACAAAATAATACATTATTTTTACGAAACAAAATTTATATCTAAACATTAGATATGTGACAGTTTCAAAATGAAGCTCTGAAACCGGATCGTGTCATTTAACATTACAGCCTCACAAAATGGAAGTGAAAGGCAAACAAAAATCTGGTGACCGTGATCTCACTATACACCGTAAGGAACTGAAGATTTTTTTAACAAAAGTTTACCAGACTGCACTCTGCGTCGGATAGTGAAAAGATTTTTACCAAGAGTAAAAACAAACATTTATAATCACGAAGTTTCTAATATATTTACATTTTCTGTAAGTACGATAAAATATTTAAAATCCACACTTTTTTTTTTTTAATATTTTAAAGCCCCAGGAAAAAACGATAATGTTATGTCTTTTATTAAATGAAAGGAACTAAAAAAACAAAATCCGAAATTAAGAAAAAATACATTCGCGTATTTATTTTATTCAAAGATACCGATAATTTGATTAATTTTTCCCAACAGATCTAGGTTAAAATATATATTTATATACTTCGGCGGGAGAAAAAAAAATGTTTGACATAATAACTGTATAATGAAGGTCTTTACTTAAATAATAATCTGTCTAGACGTCGTAATGATGTAAAAAAAATGTAACGGCCGAAAGGATTCTTTTGTGTCTTAGACCACAGACACGACTAAAATAGTTAAATACACTATCATTATAGAATGTACCCGCGCCGTTGATATACTATCTAGACGACGACGCTATTATGATGGAGTTGTGGGTCATATTTATTTGACAATTATGTCATGATTGGATTCAATGACGACGCACAGCTAAAATTACTCAGAATGTCAAAATGGCGAGTTATTACAATACTTAAGAAATCAATGGAATAATTTGGGGGTAAATCTGCAGCCTGGCCTTGACAGATAAACTTTTTCATCCTTGAAAAAAAATGTATACAAAATGGAGGACCAATGAGTATGTTCTTCAATGATTTTTTTTTTTTAAATAAAAAATAATTTGCAATTTTTCAAAGCTGGTCATTAAGTTAGAGAGTAAGGTTTCCTTTTTCACACAAAAAAAAAATAAATTAAAAAGTCTTCTTTTAATTGTGGAGTCTTGCGTTGGATCAAAGCAATATTAAAATAAAATTATTTTCTATCAATTATTCGTTCTCTCCGTGGGGAATATTTAAGCTTTATCGTCTGGTGCAATAGTTTAGACCGAAATGTATCCTTTAAACAAATTCCAGGTAAAAAACGAACTAATAGGGTATTCATACTAAAATTAGATAACCGATACATGCCCATCTATAGGAAAGATAAAAAAAACCAACAGAATTTGGGCAATCGTAAAAATTAAGATAATAGACGTAAGTCTATGAAAGTAAGTTTCCTACAGCACGTAGAGTTCTTCGTGGAATGGACTTGTTGGCAGCTCTGAGAATAAGAAAGCGTTTCAACTTCATACTGACTTTATCAAGTTAAACAAAATTTTCCTTTAAAAAAAAATAATTAAAACTTAAGTTCATCATAAGCACTGCGTGCTATACTTCAGTTCATCATAAGGACTGCGTGCGATACTTCAGATCATCATAAGGACTGCGTGCGATACTTCAGTTCATCATAAGCACTGCGTGCGATACTTCAGTTCATCATAAGCACTGCGTATAATGAATGAAAGCAAAGACCTTATAGACCTCGTCACCGCTGCGATATCTGCGTCCCTCATCAGTGAAGACGCTTACAGACTTTGCCTCGCAATATTTCACGTCCCTTTGTTTCTCTTCTCGTTTCTCGGCATCGTGACCAACTTCATCAACATCATGGTCTTTTTCCGACACGGAGTGACGTCAGACAGCCCGACCGTCGCATTTTTCACCCTCTCCGTCTCAGATGTCCTCGGCTGCATCACCATGCTCCCGGAGCCCATTTGCTTCTACCTTGAGGACCACGTCAAGACGGACAACATCTTTGTGAGAAACTGTTATGAGCTCACCTTCTTGCCGGCCACGTACACGCACATAATTCTGTACAAGGTCACCAGTTTCGTCACTGTGTACATGTCTGTCGAGCGCGCGATCTGTGTCATCTTCCCTCTGAAGGTCAGGCGCATCATTAAAGTTAAAAACACGGTGGTCATTATCGTGCTGATATGCGTGCTTACGGTCATCTCCTACATGCCTTACGCCGCCAATGTGTTCATTTTGTGGGTACCGGATCCAAACAATAATGGAACTTTCAAGGCGAAAAACTACCTGACAGCGCTTGGCCAGATTTTCACGACCAGCAACAGCATCTTCCACTCGTTCTTTCTCACTACGGCTGCCCTGCTCATCGTCACCATAACAACGGTTGTCATGGTGGCGCGTCTCAAGGCGTCGATGAAATGGCGTAAGCGAGCGATATCACCAGTCGCAACTTCCGGTTTGAGCAATGGGATTAACAACAGCAACACGAGATCCACTGGGAGCGTTGAGACGGTCAAGATTGTGACGGCGATCACTGTTGTATACCTCGTTTGCCTGACGTGCACCCACATCCCTAACATGGCCGCGGTGGCCATCCCGGGAATGACTGTCAATGGCCACAACCGATTCCTAAACGAGATCCTCTACACCGTACGATTTAATTTCGACGTCTTCAGCTCGTCCGTTCATCTGTTCTTTTACGTCAGAATGAGCTCCAAATACCGGAAAACCTTTCACAGCCTTTTTCATAAACGCCAGAGAGGACGCCATTGAAAACCTTTTTCATAAACAATATGTAGGACCGAACTTTATTTTATTTTTAAAATCTTCTATGATACATTTTGAGTTACTAGCCTGTAAAAAGGCATCATTGAACAAGCATTGATAGTTTTACATTTACTAGCCTATAAAAAGGCATCATTGAACAAGCATTGATAGTTTTACATTTACTAGCCTGTAAAAAGGCATCATTGAACAAGCATTGATAGTTTCACATTTACTAGCCTGTAAAAAGACATCATTGAACAAGCATTGATAGTTTCACATTTGTTTTTGATCTTTAGCATGATTGGTCGACAGGAAATATAGGGAGAGACTACCGGTATTAATATTTATGCGCAGTTAAACAACAAGATGTTAGAACTCTTATGGAGGAGAATGTAACATTATATAGAAAACAAATCTCTATTTTTATTTTTATTTTTTTTTTGGGGGGGGGGGGGGG